AACTAGAGGAGGATTGGCCTTACCTGATTGGGAGTTACATTACCAAGCAACAAATTTGATGTGGATTAAGGAGTGGATAAGACTAAAAAAACTTTAGATTATTGAATGTAGAAGGTCATGATTTACTGTTCAGGGTTGACTCAGCCTTCCATCTTCCGAGGTGGGTAAAATGAGGACCCAGATTGTTGGGGGCAATATGCTGACTCTCTGTAAACCGCTTAGAGAGGGCTGAAAGCCCTATGAAGCGGTATATAAGTCTACTGCTATTGCTATTGCTACTGCTATTGCTACTCTTTAATGCTCTTCATGGTCTCGCAACGCATAATGTTGGGAATAGAAGGGAATAGAAGGATTTGTTTACTCTCCACCATTCAGTCAGAGTTGAAGAAGCTTCTTGGATGAGAAATGTTTTCAAGGAAAAATAATAATAAAAGTCCAATTGCCTTTCGGAAAAAGCCCCTTTGGGACAACCGTGACCTAGGTGATTGAGTATCTCCGTAGACATTTAGTTGATGTGGTTGACAATGAGTTGAAACTAATTTTTTACATCAGTCAGATAACATGGCAATTAGCCCAGTATCTTCAAAGCTTTTATGGGTCTAATTTTATTAATCCTTAATGCTTCTCTATATACAAAGAAAAACCTAACCTTTCTCATCTCAAACATCACCTTCTATTTTCAATGCTCTTTTATAATGAGGTCTCTTGAGGAAGAAAAGGGATATTGACAGAAGCCCTTCATTTATATGGATTTATTAAAAACGGGCTTCCTTTTTCAGCTCTTGTGAGTCTTGACCACACATTATTTACTGTGACCTGTTTCCACTTAAGGGGAACGCCGAATCAAAAGGCGCTCCACGGGAGAAATTCCCTCTTCAATTACAGCACCTCTTGTCCAAGTAACAAGATGCCCTGATCCACTACAACAAATAACATTTCGAATCTTCACATGAAGATTTTTAAAAGGTTTATCCTTTATTTCCAACTAGCTGATAACCCGGCATTGCCCAGCTATTTATTTACAGGGGGAAAATGTCAAGACCAAATGGAATTTCTAATGTTGGTTTTTTTCCTCCCTTATGAGAGGGAGCACCCTTGTGGGGTACTGTGAAGCCGTTACCACGGCAACTCACTGCGCTGTATAGTAGAAGCCATTTTATGGCACAACAGACTGTTTCTTAACAGAACACACCCCCTGAGGGGTGTCTTACCCCCACAGTGTTTTTTTTTTCTCCAGGGAGTAAGTCATCTGTGTACCAAGTTTGGTTGAAATTGCTCGAGGTATTCCAGACTTATACTGGAACACACACACAAACAATGTTTTTGTAAATTTTCACGGGTGTAGGTATGCTGGTTTTATTGTATTCGTGTCTTTTCCCATGTAAGATATACAGTATATATTAGAAGTCAAGAATACAACAGACAACATGATAATTTTCAAGGTTATCATTTCCTTGAATGTGCTATTGCTGGACAACTTTTGAGATTGTACGACAGGGGAGTATAAGGAAGCTCACGTTTTGCAGTATTTTGGGGTGAGAAAAAAAAATACTTCTTGACAACTGCATCATGCATTCTATCTCACTAAATATTTCTACTTCAAAGTAGCCTGAAAACATCCCCTAGATTACTGGTTATTGAACATTTTGGTCTCAGGATCCCTTTCCATTCGTAAAAAAATAATAATAATAATGGTTGAAGATGTGGATTGTTATCTATCAAAATTTACTGTGCTAGACATTTAAACCAAAAGAAAATGTTAAAATATTCCTTTATTTGATTTAGATGATCTCCTGAAATGGGTCTTCTGGAAAGAAGGCTCCCCAGACCACACTTTGAGACGCTATCAGTCTTACGAGGACAAGAACAGAAATACCCTGTTGAAAATGATGCATCTTGTGGCAATATTGATGGTTTTAAAGCAGGGCTCTTCAAACTTAGCAACTTTTAAGATTTGTTGACTTCAATTCCCAGAATTCCCCAGCCAGGATTCTGTGAGTTGAAGTCCACAAGTCTTAAAAGTGCCTAAGTTTGGAAAGCCCCTGTTTTAAAATGCAAACAGAGTCTTGGAAAAATAGCACGGGTTGGTTTCATCCTAGATATAAGGGCTATGTTAAAAAGCCACTAATGAATCTCATATTAAATTACTTTAGGCCGGCCTCTTTCCCCTTGCCATTTTATCCTACGGAATCAATTATTAATGGAGAAACCCTCATACTATATCAATAGATACATTAATTAAATTAACTCTACAATTCCCTTACAGCACTCCCAATGCAGGTTTGAGCCACAGATGTGATCTAATTGGAAAAACCACAGAAGGACTCATTTTGTGGGGAAGGGAAAA